AGCCAGCCCAGCAGCCCTTGGCCCTCTTGCCCCCCTGGCCACCCTCGGGCTCCTCTTCAGCTCCCTGCCCAGCCCAACTCCCAGCTCCCTTCCTGCCTGGCTGCTCTCCAGCCCCTCTGGCCCAGCCTGCAGCTGCATTGTGGTTGTTGTGGCCCAAGGGCAGGACCCGGCCCTTGCCCAAATGCGACACCTTAACGTGATTTGCTTTTCCCACCTGGAACTGACTCCTGGGTGTCCCGTTCCCTGCAGCTCCCACGGCTCCACGCCTACAAAGGCTACTGCAGCAACCAGCTGGCAGCCAAGGCCCTGCTGGACCAGAAGAAGCAGGACAGGAGAGTCCAGGACTTCCTGCAGCGCTGCCTGGAGTCTCCCTTCAGCCGCAAGCTGGACCTCTGGAGCTTCCTGGACATCCCCCGGAGCCGGCTGGTGAAGTACCCGCTGCTCCTCAAGGAGATCCTGCGGCACACGCCCAAGGACCATCCCGACATCCACATCCTGCAGGAGGCCGTAAGTGAGGGCGGCTCCGACGGGAACACCTTCCCTTGGAGCTCCTGGAAACTCCCTTAAACCCTCGGGCATCTCACCTGGTGTTAACTCGGGGTTGAACCGGATTTCCCGGAGGGTTTGAGGTTCCCAGTGCCGGGGTGGGTTTATGGCAGACACAAACCCGTGAGTCACCCTCTCCGAGAGGAAGTGAGGGATCAATCCCCAGGAATTCCATTGCCTGGAGCTCTGAAGCGGCACCTACCAGGAAGAAGCCCGTGCAGGGGTCACTGTTAATCATCCCTTTGCTGATTAACAAATTCATGTGCTGTTGCAGATATCCATAATCCAAGGGGTCCTCTCCGACATCAACCTGAAGAAGGGCGAGTCCGAGTGCCAGTACTACATCGACAAGCTGGAATACCTGGATGAGAAGCAGAAGGATCCAAGGATTGAAAGCAGCAAAGCCCTGCTGTGCCACGGGGAGCTGAAGAATAAAAATGGACATGTGAGTCCCTCCTGCTCCTGGGAATTCATTCTCAAGGGGGAATTCATTCTCAAGTTCAGACTGGGAGCCTTCACTCCTTTGGGATGGTTTAGACTTGGGGCTAAGTTTAAAAAAGCAGAGGGGAAAGCCCTTGGTGGCAGCCTGGATTTTGGGGTGGGAGGGAAAGTTTCCTTGCTGGCAGCTCCACAGTTGGCCTTGGGAAGCTGGAGAACAATGAGCACAAAAGGGAGCACAGCAAGTGCTCTCCATCCCCAGGGATTTCCTGCCCCTGTTTGCTTTGAGGTGCTCGGACACGGCCCTTCAGGAGCTCTGCTCCAAACAAAAGGCTTCCTGCAAAGGCCTCTTTGGCTTGGAGCTGAGCTCAGCCAGGAGTTTTATCTCCCCCTGGACTCCAGGGATTGCTGCCTTTTGTGCTGCCCTGGTTTAAAACATCAAATCTTTCCATGTTCTCTTTTATTTATTTTTTTTTGTTGTTGTTAATTGGAGGATTGTTTGGGTTTTTTATATTTTTGTTGAATTTGGCTGTTGCATTTCTGCACACGGGGCGGTTTTGTGTTGCCAGAACAGATAATTGCTCCTAATCACCCTCTCCTTGGCATCTGTAAATCAGAATTCCAGGGCTGAGGATCAATAAAACAATAAAGAACCGTTGAGGTAATTCCGCTCCGTGCCAGAACTCCGAGAGACTCACAAACTTATCATGGGTGAAACCACAGATAAGGCAGCCCTGGATCCCAGAGGGGGGAGGATGTTTGACCTCAGGGAACACGAGGCTTTGCTGACACCCCAACGTGCTTTTCCTCCCCCTTTTTCCAGAAGCTCTACGTGTTCCTCTTCCAAGACATCCTGGTGCTGACCCGGCCGGTGACGCGCAACGAGCGCCAGGCCTTCCAGGTGTACCGGCAGCCCATCCCCGTGCAGGACCTGCTCCTGGAGGACCTCCAGGACGGGGATGTGAAGATGGGGGGATCCTTCCGAGGGGCCTTCGGCAACTCCGACAAAGGTACCGACCAAACCGGGTGGGAAGGCGCCTGTTCCGATCGGATCCGGGGGTGTTTGGGGGGATTCTGAATCCAAAAAAACCAGTGTTATGAACTGCCCAGAGACTCTGGATCTTTGAGCAGCAAAGGTGTTTATTGGCAGCACTGAGAGCAAACTGGACAAGCTTGCTCGACTTGAAAGTGCAAACCCAAGCCATTTTATCCACTTTGGGTACATGGTTACATCATTTATTATATGTATTAATAA